TATTGGAATGCTAGATCAAGAGCTCCAAATGCGACTTCAATCGTCTATTCCCAATCTGTGAGAGTCACTGATAAATCCCCACCGGGAGAAACTGATGCTGTCTTTGCAGGAGACGATAGAAGAGGCGCGTCAGATGTCCAGTAAAAAGGTACCAGCCGATGTATGAACGTCGGCAGAAATCTATGGAAAGACTGACTGGCAACTTCAGGACGACTTGATCCTCCTGCTCCTAGACGGTGCGTACGTGTGTACAAAGCCAACAGCCCCCTCATGGGTGAAGTTGCCCACTGATAGACAGTACATGGAATCGAGGGTCAGGGTCCAAAGATCGCTTAGCGGGGATTGGTGACGCGGTCGTTTATTTGAGGTCCAAGACGCTCTAAGGAAGCAAGGCGCGTGAAGAGTTGTGAACCGAGTCCTGCGTGGCATACGTGGGTGAATTATTCAGCGTTGCAGGTCGTTGCTGACGGCGGGTCAAGCGCTGTGGCGTGGGAGGCCGCTGAATGAAGCCCCAACTCAGTCCGCGCAGTCTGTCCAGTTGTCTGTGTGTTTGTATGGAGTGGCAGTCTGGTGGGCTGCGAGTAAGGCTGAAACGGTTCCTTCTCAACTTGACGTACGGCACTCTCACACATGCGAGATATACGCCACTCAGCCACGGTCGTTAGAAATCCTGGTGCTTGTGATTGGGGTGCCAGGTCGTGCATGTGGCGCGCGCAGACAAGGTCACTAGATATGTCAGCCAGCGCTCATTCCCCGCACCTACCAACTGACCGACTCGGACAGTTGGCTTAGAATGGGAAGGGAGAGTGAGGTCGACAACTCGGCGCATTTTCTTCGCTATAAACAATTTGTCGCGCTCGAAGTTATAATGGTGAGCTAAAGGCCGTGGCTTGCAAGTTCGCTAACTGACGGGATAACTTGGATCTAGCAGTCGACTCAGTGTTGTGTGGAGTGACCGGTTGGTGGTTTAGGAGTCAGGCTGCAATGGCTCCTTCTTCATGTGGCGTCTAGGGCACTCCCAATCCGTGGGATCCGAGCCAGGTGTGACGGCACGCCTGGGTGCGGCATCGGCCACGCCAGTTCTTCCCATTGCTGTGTTGGTTAAAAAAGCCCGGTCATTTGCTCTGTGGACCAGGTGGTGTGGAGTGGAACGCCGAGGCGCGGGCTCTCCCCCGCAACTCTCCTGCGCCCTCCCTCGCCTCCGGTCTTCTTGACTCTGTCTTAACACCGGATCCAGGTGCAGGAGGAGGAGGGAGTGCGGTAGATGCTGCGCAAGTCCATTACCACTGTAAACTTATTCACGCGCAAGTCACTGTCCCCGCCCCCACCTTGCTGCGGGACAGCCCGGTGGACATCGTCAGATGCGACGGTCGAACTGTCAGGTCGTTGCACCTACGCACACACGTAATAAGAGAGACAGATTGTTCTCGAGGCAGGTAGAGTGCGAGCCCGCTTCACAATAAGCAAATGCATAAGCGGTTATGGCTGTGCCCTTCTCGTGGACCGCCTTCGATGGTGAATCTACGAGCAGCACACCGAATGCTCCAAGACCCTGAAATTCGCGTTTCCCAGTGGGGGGTTTCTTTAACTCCAGAGGATTCTAAAATATACTGTCGAGCGCAACTTATGTGTGTTGAGTCGCCGCTGGTCAACGGGGCATGCGTGGAAGGCTAGAAGAACAAGATTCCCAGAATTTAGCCGTCATCACAAACAGGACTGGGGAAAACATGGGGCTGGGTCAGTGGGGAAGATCCCGCATTTTAAGAAGTGAGTAAAATGCAGCGGAGCTCTTTCAATATGTTTCTTGTGCAGAGCAGTTATGGTGCATCTGAGACACCTGTCCACTAGACATGTAGGTCCAGAAACTGGAACAGTATGACTTATAACTGGTTTTTTTTAATGAACGAGGGTGATCTTGATTGCCAAAGAAAGTCCTGAGAGTGCGATTTGTGATGATCTATTTCTGACATCAGATAGAAAGTCTTCAGTCTTCCAGAAGAAAGAGAAGCATGTAATTAATCTTCCAGCGATCGGTTTGATCAACTATTCTTTTATGAAACGGCATTGTCGGCTTTCTGTTTGACTGCAGTGGACTGTAATCATTTCTTTTATTATGACCTTGACTAAGGACCAAGAATTTATCCGTCAGAAAGACGAACTATGGTCCCATTATCTCGTCAAAGTAAGAAAGTTACTCATTTATAGCTCTCCAGTCAGATGAACAAGACGAAAATGAGTTGCAGATCACCTACCAAGATCACCGCATCTGATGCACTTGGAAATCCATCCATGAAGCACTTTTTAGTCTGGAAAAAATGCTTCAAAGGCCCGACTTTCTCCATGTGTCATATCTTCATTGGTTCGAGTTTAAATGGTCAGAATAAGGTACAATTCCTCTCAAGACTCAAATAATCCTGTCAAATACATATGCGTTTACAAGATATATGTGTATGCTGAAAGAGATGGGTTCTGTGGGACAAGAGGGTATATTGTGCAAATATAAATAACTAAATAAATAAATATACCTACCAATATGCGTGAATAGTTATGTACGTATACCGTATTTATCATTCCCCGAGGCCAAAAGAAAACGCCAGTTAACGACTTTGATGGTGGAGGCGAGAGGGTTTCCGAAACGTCAGTTCGAATAAAATCTGGTCCGTGAAATCGCTTTCTCTTCTTCTTCTTCCTCGGGGGATGATAAACACGATATATATATATATATATGTGGCAAACGTATTCTATCGTACTCCCGATATAGGTGCTAACTAGAAGCCCAGACACGCGTTTCGCCGGCATTCTGCCACTGGGTGACACAGCTGCAAGGGGATTAGCACTTCAGTGGGTACCCCAGCGTTTCCCATGCGGTTTCTGGTTTATAAATTCCAGAGAAGAATCAAGCGAATAATTTGCTGCAGAAATTGGAGGTAAGTCTCCGGGACATGACTTTTTATATAGATTTGCAGTTTGACCGTCACTGACAACGATCTGCATCCTGGGTGTCTGGAGAGGACGCAGCAGTGGTGACCTTCGGATGAATTAGTTCGTAGTGAGGTGGACTTTCGCAGCGTCTTCCGCACGCTCTCTCTTCCTGCATAAACCCTGCTCGTGTGGCAAGACAGTGACAAAGGCAAAGAGACTAAGAGGACTAAGCAGCTTGCCTACACGTGCCAAACACAACCTGAACAGCGCTTCCAGGCTTCCAGGCAAACGCTCGCCGTCTGCGTCTGACGACGACCTGGGGAATGGGTGTCAACAATTTACGCAGTAAAATTTCTTTTCCCAAAGAACGCCTTTGACTTCAATTTATATTTCTTGGGATGCCTACCTTCCAATATAAATAAAACATGCGTGTAAACCTCTGTAATGAGTCCTTCTAAACATTTACACCCTATCAATTCACTGTATGAGTGTATCTCACGGCTTTATAAACCTTTCGAGAGCATCTCACAAGGGGAAGAGACTGTCATCGACTGTGTGGCATTTGTAAATTTCCTATTTAAAACTTTTTGGTTAAAAATCCCCGTGCCTAAAATTGTTTTTTTAAAAAATGATAACTACCTATGAAAATATAGGGTTTGTCGTTTTCGAACCATGTTCTTACTTTCCCACACTGCCCCCTCCCCTCCCCCGTCCCGGCCTGTTGCATTTTCTCTGCCTGCCGGTCGGCCAAATACACCGCGTGCCCTTCCGAGGTGGCTGTCCGACTGGTCAACTGGACAGCCAATAGGCTTCAGCCCTGCAGTGGGATAAAGTTTCACGCAGGAAGAGACCAGATTTAACACGCTGCAAAACGTCAGGTAGTCATAATGGGCTGTTGGAATGCGCTGACCTCCAGCATGTTTGACTATGAAACCCAGAAGGTGGTACAGATAAATTCCAAGAAGATTGGCTGCACATTCCGTCTGATTCAACTCTGCATCATTCTGTACGTCATCATCTGGGTGATGATTTATGAGAAGGGTTACCAGTCCTTTGACGAAGCCGTTAGCGGGGTGACAGCCAAACTCAAGGGCGTCGCCTTTGCCAACCTGACCAACAACTCCAACATCGGTGCCATGGTCTGGGATGCCGCGGACTACGTCATTCCGCCCCAGCAGCGCTCCGCATTCTTCGTCATGACTAACCTGGTTATTACACCCGGACAGACCCTGGGAGCCTGCGAGGAAGCCCACGATGTGTACGGAAATGACTGTCAGTCTGATGAGGACTGCCACGCGGGAAACATTGTGATGCTGGGCAGTGGGGTGCAGACGGGTAAATGCGTGCCTTCCACACGGCAGGCCGGACTGAAGGTGTGTGAAGTCTACGGCTGGTGTCCCACTGAACACGACATCACACCGACAGACTTCGTTCTAGCCAACGCGCCAAATTTCACTGTCATGCTAAAGAACAGCATTGAATTCCCGCGCTACCAGGTGAAGCGCCGAAATATCCTCAGCTGGATGGACAAACAGTTCCTCTTCACCTGTCGCTACAACCCCTATGATGAGAAAATGAAGTACTGTCCAATATTTTCCCTCGGGGATATCATGAATTACACTGAAGCGGAGAATAAGCAGATCTGGAAGCAGGGTGGTATGGTGTCGATTCACATTGAATGGAACTGCAATCTCGACTACGACGAGGAACAATGCCTGCCCAAGTACGTCTTCCGCAGACTGGATGATTTCGACAGCATCGTGGGCAAGGGTTGGAACTTTCGATACAGCTACCACTACATGGAGAACGGCACGCGAATGCGCAACCTCATCAAAGCCTACGGCATTCAATTTTTCATCACTGTGTACGGAAAGGGCGGCAAATTTAACATGCTCACTTTCTCAATGAATCTGGGCTCCGGTCTGGCCCTACTGGGAATCGCCACTGTCCTCTGTGACATGATCGTCCTCAATGTTACCCGCAAACGGAACCTCTACCGAGACGCCAAGGTGGACTTGGTGGCTCAGCAAAAAAAGATTGTTAAAAACCAATACCTAAAATTTGCCGCGAGTCAACGCAATAAAGGTGATAAGGGTCCGGACGAAGGCGCGGATTGTGATGTGGCAGTGAGGGAGGCTTGTGAAAATGACCAAAGCCCAACAGGTTCGAGGAAGGCAATACCTCTTGAGAATGGACAGAGGCTGGAGGGCGAACAGCATCTCGGAAGCAGGCCACCAGCGGTCAAGAGCACTGGGGGACAATATGCGCCCTCGCTTCCACTGCATGTTATCAGCTCCGGTCAGGTGAAACAACGTAGCTGAAGTGACACAAACGTCCCCCTACGAATGTGTGGCATTAAACCAGTAAAACACTGACGGATAAGGCGGAATAGGAAGTGTTCTCCCTCCCTGTAAAAGTCCGCGCACCAAAGAAAACACGCGCCACTTGATAAAATGTGATCTCTATACATGTGTATATATAAATATATCCTGCAGTATAACGTTGTAATTTTGCTCTACGCTTAACTCAGGAGTGTACCTACGTGAACAGGCAGCACTTCTTCATCGGTAGAACATACCAAATGTGTTGAATAACATTAATACTTTAAAGGCACCCAAGGTGTGGCTGCATTCAGTTTTTCTTGATGCGTCCTGCGCACTATGGGTCACTGGTTCGTGCACAAAATGGAAAAATTCTAACAAATACTCTTCATTGTTCACCAGAAAGTGACGAAAATTCTCAACTCTCTGACACGCTATACGTTCTTCTTTTCTATCCGACAGGAAAGTCGCCTGAACTAGATGCTAGGCCACTGTTACGAGTCGCAGATACGGCAGAGTAACGTAGGAGGTGTCTTGGCATATTTACCTAACTAACCTGACTGCCCAGTTATGAAAATCTTGGCGACCTGGGCGGTTATCTGACTCACTCGTCGGATTTAAGTAGGTGGGAGACCCGACAAGAAGCTGGTGATGGTTGGGGAAAGGGGGCGGGGCTTGAGGGGGCGGGGGGCATGACACGCGTGGACTCACGTTTCCAGGTTGGGTGAGCTTCACGTTTCTATCGCTTGCACTAGATAAATTGCGCGAATTCGGTAAATAAAGAAGGTCATGTAAGGATTACGAGTACTGCTACATAGTCCTCATTGTAGCCCCTGAAATTGTGAGGCAGAAGGATTGTACGGTTTACCCTAGATGGAAACCCTAAATGTCTGTGGAGCGGCAGGTCAGGTTCAAACTTATCCGGAGATTGAAAAAGAACGTTTTTTCAGCTGGGAGATACTGCTCCTTCACGTGAAGAGTTTAAAGAAGGACATGGCCGGCCACAAAATGAGTACAAGGAAGGATGTTTGATTGTTTGGTCGTTGTAAAGGATCGTTATATTTATAGGGGTGTCAGAAATCAAAGGCAAACACTCTTACTACTTAAGAAACAATTTTTAGCCCGCGTAATTTTGAATGGGATCTCCGCATCTCGGCTTTACTTAAATATCTTGGAATTATACCGCACGTTATTCAGCACTGCAACTTGACCTAAGTATTACTTTTAAGTCTAAATCACATTTTAGAATCTCAGCCAGTATTTCCTGGTTTACGTCACCTCCGCCATCATCAGCGGGCGACGACATCTTAGATCCTACAGAACGGCGATAACGATGCCCTGTTGAGAAAACATGCAGGGCAGCTCAACGAATATTAAGTAGTTTTAAGAATAGTGTCCCAGGTGATGGAGACACTAGATCCCTTGCCACACGCGCCAACTCAAACTGTGCTTATTAGCTCACGTGCTTTTTTTGCTGGGTCAGGGCAAAATCACTTGAAACTGGAATCAGCTGAAAATTCGCCTCAGGGGCTGCCAAAGTTAGGGGGAGCATTTCTCCGTCTTTTTTCGCAAAAAGAACCAGCCAGATGGCGGACACTCTGAAGCGAACCTCCTGTACAGACAGATTTGATACCGTGACAATCGCACGCGGTCTACGCGAGATGACAAAAGTCTAATTTAAACAAACTGTAAACCACGTTAACTTTGACTGAAGACCCCTCACACATTTTAATTCGTATGCTCATTTTATTTTATTGCACTCTCTTTTTTATCATCTTTTTGGGATTTTTTAATTGATCATATTGTGCATTTTGAGCCGCCACCTCGTCGTTTTCATACTGATTTTCTGAATAACTTTGAGCCACCAAGTACCCATTGCAAATTATTTATGTTTTGAAGGGCTATATTTGCCAACCAAGTACGATGCCTTGCGTTTGTGAAATAGGTGGGTGTAAATCAGCGAGTTGATTCAAGGGTCACGCGCCTTGGCTACGGTGAGCGCAAAGCGGTCTAAATATATTTTAAACTAATCGCGCACATGCTTCAAATTACAAATATTGTCACGAGACACGCATAAAACACCTTGTCGCCGTAGATGTGATGCCTGCATATCGTGGCCTCGTCTCTCATTAGCGAGCGACGGGGTATGTGGGTTAGACGTTTTTGCAAGGCCTGACTCCGTGCTTTCTGTAGAATCTTTAAACTGGTCTAACAAAAACCAATGTTGAAAGCCCAAAGTTCTCACTGTTCTGGGCAGAGTTTTTGGCTAAATTTTCATCCGCATACGTAGCTCAGGGTATGCTGCAGGTACAGTAGTGGGCTAACTCATGAAATGTCAACCGAAATTTTAAAATGAGTTCTCGTTTTGAAAAGATTATTTAAGTAGGGTTGTAAAATTTATCATCATGTAGCATAGTTCTATAATGATTCAGTTACCACAGGGTGTCGGCTTTCAAAAGAACTTATTTCCGACTGCATGCAAGAACTTTACACTGCAAAAAGTGACTACATAAGAAGAATGCAATTTTCTCATTGATTTTCAATGCCCCTAAAAATTCAATTATATTTCCTGGAAAGTATGCACACAAATATTAATCCTTTTACCTATTCGGTAGAAAATAACGTTTTCTAACAATTGTTTTACTCGAAAGATGGGTATGAATCGGTTTCAAAAAAGTATCGAATTGTGAGATTATTTAAAACCGTGAAATGGCCGTTTATGAAACGTCATGTATCTGTATTTATCAATGTGGCTTGAAAAGTCAACAATATTGCTTATATCCACTGCTTAATATTATGAACCCCATATGGTATTCTCTTAATACAGTAGAGAAATGTATGGGTTTCCGTACATGAAAGATATACGGCTTGTTGTTTTGAAGCCCTGAATGCACGTATAACAGCAGGTCGGGTTCAGAATTATTCAAAAACTAGAAAGGTTTTTGAAAACCGATTTATATACTTCCATCGAGTATAAAATTGGAAGAAGATGTGATTTCCTACCAAATAAGTAAAAAATGAATATTTTTATGCACGCTTTCCAGGACATATAATTGAATTTTTAAGGGCGTTGAAAGTCAATGAGAAAATTGCATGCTACTTATGTAGTCACTTTTTGCAGAGTATAGTTCTTGCATGCTGTCGGAAACAAGTTCTTTTGGAAACCGTCACCCTGAGGTAACTGGATTATTATAGAACTATGCGGCATGATGATGAGTTTACAACCCTACGTAATTAATCTTTTCGAAGCAAGAAAGCATTTCGTAATTTCGGTTGACATTTCATGAGTTAGCCCACCTACTGTACCTACCACCAGCGCCATCATTGTTTTAAGAACACACCTAGCCTCCCTCTGTCTATCCGATGACATGAAAGACGATGGGAAACGGTGACCTCATTGTTCGTCTTTGCCACCGACAATTTATTTATGTCATGTCAAAGAGACAGAAGGTAACGAACGAATTACTGGCCCATGAAACTTGAAAAATGTGAACTCATCAGGTTTTCCTGTCCAACATTAAAGTAAGACTTTTACGTCTCTGGGATGGGGACAGTGACGCGACCGTTTAATGCATCTACCAGAGCCTTCGCATCTCACGGAACATTGAGAATGCGTTGATTGTGCAGGTTCTGATAAACTGGGCTTTTAAACGTATGGACAGGTATAATGCTGTGTGAATGGACACCTAATTTCATAATCAGAAACTTTTTAAGAATAGAAAGATGCAATTTCTTAAAATACAAAATTCGAGGGTGTAATTTTTCACCAACTGTGTCCAAAGAGGAATGTTTCTGTGTTTGCCTTCAAGAAAGTATATTTTGATTTACAAGGGTGATGAAAATCAGCGAAAAATATATTACAATTGCATGATAATCAATATTACACCTCAACTACGTAAGCTTTATCATGGAGAAAAAATTTCGGAATTTCGAAAAACATTTCACGAGATAGGCCAGCTATCATGACTAGTATTTAAAATTCTGTTGCAACAAATGTTTACTGCTTCGAATGTACTTATGTGTGTGTGTCTCTGTGCGTTAGTCATGACAAGGATCAGTGTACTGGAAGAATAAATACTCCCCTATCAGAATGCAATTACTTGGTGTGACCTGCTTTACATTCATGGTATGGTAGGGAAAAAAGGGGTTTTCAGACGATATGCGATGCAGAGCTTTGCCCGACCATTTCTAAAAGCTCTGATAGACAAATTGATAGTATGCAATATTTCCGCCCCAACTTTAAGCACATAGTTTGAAGGCGAATGGCTATCTCAGTACCCTAACTTTTAACGACGTCCAATGTGTGACCACGATTTCAGACACGAGCCGTCAAACCGTGTTCGCACTCTGGTTCCCGCAGACGCCGAGCGTCAGAGTGCGGCCTATTCATTTCCTAACTTAAACTGAGTTATTGATCCACGAGTCTTCTATTTGTTCATTTTCATCTTCACCAAGGAATGCTAATCAGATCATTCTAGGTGAAAAAAATCCACACATTTCGCCCGCGGTATCTGATGGCTTTTCTATTTCGATTTTTTTCCGAAAGTGAAAACTAAGGCATTTGGACGGTGTTGGAAGTTATTTAACACCGACTGAACCGTTGCACTCCGTTTTATGCCCAGAAGCTCACTTAGGGTAGGTAACGATCCCGTTTAGTTCGAGCCTTCACCAACCTGCCATCCGACCGATATGTGGAAATTCTGGTTTACGTCATAACGCAAGCCACAGTAGTCAAACTTTTTTCCTATACCTTCTAATAATCTTCCCGGATCTCTAAACTTTTCCAATCTGAACAGGAAGAATTATGAAGGCGGATTTGTGCAAATCATTAACACGAAATACAATGCAGGATAACCTATTGCCTCGAACAATGCTGTGTCCCTCTTTTGGTAATTCATGCGAAATTCGTGCGATGAAGCACGTTACTAACGCTTTGCAGTAGGTGGCGCTTGTCGCTGAAATTTGACCGCAATTCTGAAATTGGAGAGCTGCGAGAAAGG